ATATATATATATATGATACTCATGTGTATGAGTGAGTGTGTGTGTGTTTGTGTAGGTTATGGAAACATGCTCAAAATCTATTACAAAAATCTATGTAGGTGAACTCCTGTCAAGTTGAATCCAATGTAATACAAACTCAATTCATTTACTTTTCATGTTTTGAATTTTGAAATCAACTTTTCTCTACTAATTTTACCTTTCATTTTGCCTACTCATTATTCATAAAGGAACCAAAGTGAAAAGATTTCAGTGCTGGTAAGATATTCCCAAATACATTTCTTGACTTACAGGCAAGATACTCCAGGTATTCAGTAACAAGCATAAACAGAATCAGTAAAGTATAATTCAGTGAGACAAATATGTCTTCTTAAATTTCAAAAGGGTAAAAAAAACAAAAAACAAACAAACAAACAAACAAAAAAACGAACAGTATAATCTGTGAGTACTACATGTAAAAGGGAATGTATGCTAAAAATACGCTACTAATTTTAGGTACAAATGCTTATTTATTTAATATTTATAGGTGTGATATACTGCCTGGCAGCACCTTTGCAATAGACACAAGGCAACTGTGGTGTGGTCAAATACTGTTAGAAAATAATTATGTTAAGTCATGCTCATTAAAAAGCATTACGCAGAAATTAAAGGAAACGACAAAAGAAAGACAGAATGTCCCAAAAGATGGAGTCATATGCTTAAGCGAATAAGTAAACTCATGGAGTAATCCAAGAAGAAGGCAGTGATGGTACTAAAGCAGATAAAGCTGTCAAAGTGTTATCTTCAAAAATAAAATAAAATAAAATAATGAGGACAAATAAATGATAATAACTACACATCTCCACCTTTTCCCCTTTCTTCCTTACCCTGAGATACACAAAATCTGAATGAGTACTGACCAGACTTGCTGTCACTACTACCTTCTATTTTGCTGTACTTCAAAAGATAACAGCATGACTGCAAATGTGAAGACAGAATAAGCTTATGACATGACAGAGAAATACAGAATAAGTAGTTAGATGGAGAACTAAAAAGGTAAGAAAGACACTACAACTATTAGATATGTCTTACAGAAAGATTATTTTTTAAAAGATATGGACACTCTAGTATTAGACTGATTTTAGTCTACAAGTAAACTCCGCTGTTGTATAAAATCCACATTTTACTACAGTTACTTAAACTGAACTGTGTTTATACCAGCAGCTAGTAGCCAAGTTGTATTCTACAAATCAGTACTGAAGATTATTCATACTAATTGAGCACCACTACAGAATAGGAAATAAAATGGTTTATGAAAGCCTGTCTCACTTCCGCACTGCCACTCCCAGTTTCAGTCCCAGAACCCAAATTACTTTTTAAGTTCATGATTCTTAATACACATTTGAAGACAGTAATTTTAGGTGGAGATACCACGACTTTCTGCAGTAGTAAACAACTTTCTAAGAAACCTGGATTACTTTTTAACATCTTCACTCAGGACACATAGCAGTTGGCCTGATACTTAACTTTTGGAGTAGTCAAGTAGCAAAAGTGGTAATGTTAATCACTTGATGAAACTGGCACTTGCCATCTTCAAAGGCTTTTGTCTCCCTAATCAAAACTTGAAACTTCATTTTTTAACTCCATTATTAAGTAGAAAACATCTACTTAGCTGATTACCTTGAAAGCCAGAATCTGACTCTACTTATGCTATATATTCACCAAGTTAAAATTCAGTCTATTCATTTCCACTCTGGTAACCTCTCAGATACTTATCAAAGGTAAAACTCTCATGACTTTCTCAGAGTAGTTGGACAGACAGAAAACATTACTTCCCTTTAAACACTGCAGTTCTTTATTATTCACCCATTCCTTCCAAGAAGTAGACTAGTTCCTCTCTTCCTCTGTGTTGGTTACTGTATACCCCAAGGATTCACTCTTCGTTTCTTTCAAAAAAAGTAGTTCCACTATTCATGAGAAAGAGGCATAAATTCAAAGATTTAAGACTCATCTCTCTTAACTACAGAATACATTACCCAGAAGTCAAGCAAAATAATGCACTGCTTTCTTTTGCAGCTTTACAGTTCTCAGTTCTGTCACCCTCTCTTCCACTTTAGAGCATTCTTCATCCAAAAAAAAAAAAAAAACCACCAAAAATGACACTACGAACAATAGACACAGACAATATCTATTCTACGTTCTTGCTGTACAAGTATACATTTTCTCTACAAAATATTTGGCAACTATGTACATTACTGACATTAATTTAACATAACTGCATCAGATGGAAGGGTCAAACAACTAATGTTGCAAATTAAGCAAGAAATGTAAAATGAAATAATTTATCAGGCATCATAAAACACTAGAAGAAAAGGTAGTAAAGATTCTTCTGTTAAAATCTAAGACTACTCTCAGAAACAGAGTCCACAGGAAAAAAATCAAGAATTAAGACAAAAACTGTTTATACAGGGAAACAAATTAATAAGAAAAGAAAGCAAAACAAACTCTTCTCAGAAACACTAACTTAAGGACTGCAAAAAAACTACAGTCTAAAGTACATTTTTTACTTAAAATATGAGTGAAATAATTATAAGCAATTTACTGATAACACATTTACCCGCCTATTGCTAGCTTTTGAAGATATTTGAATGATTAAAATCGGCAACTTTTCTCTCTCTCTCTCTTTTTTTTTTTTTTTTTTTTTTTTTT